TTCATAGGTGAAGGTTGGCAAATTGCAAAAACACAAAAGCAATCAAGGACTAAACAATAATAACGAAAGAAAAGGGAACGTTGGAACGCAATTAAAATAAAAACAAATTTTTTTATTGTAAATAATTAAAAAAAAAAGAAGTAAAAACAAGTTCCACAAGAGTATAAAATGGAAAAAGACATTAACAGCCCCTCCAAAAACCGTAAGAAATGCATAAAATGCTCCTTTTGTCTACACAGGCTCAGTTGTATAAACATAGCCTTGAGAACTTGGAAATGGTAAACCAGGCGATACATATATATATATATATGTGTGTGTGTGTGTGTGTGTGTGTGTGTGTGTGTGTGTGTGTGTGTGTGTGTAAATATATATATATATATATATATATATATATATATATATATATATATATATATATATATATGTGTGTGTGTGTATAATTATTTATATATTATATGCGCGGTACTTATTAGAAAGCGCTCAATATCAGAGATAGAGCTAACATATTTGGTTGGATAGATGTGAGTTTGTGACCCTGGGTTTCACGCTTTAGCGATGTCTGACGAATTAAAGTAAGCTCTGTTCCATATTCAAGCGAAATTTATTTTTTTTTGCTTATAAAACACGTAAATTTCAGAAATAAGTTATTCCAAAAAAAATTTCGCTTGAAGATGGAACAGAGTTTATTTAATTCAATTTAATTCAAATAATTATATTGAAGTTTTCGGCTCTTGTTTTGAAACATGAGAACTCTTATGTAGCGTGTTGGAATCATATTTTTAAATATATATGTATATATATATATATATATATATATATATATATTTAAAGAATTGTTAGTGCTGCAGAGCTTGATTATTGCTGTAAAGACATTAAACTGGATATTAATTTGCATAATTAAAAACTGATGGTAAGAAAAAAATGTAAGAGGAAGACAAGCGGTTTCGCTCTTGCGCTTCAAAGTTTTTAATCGGGAGAAAAAAAGAGTAAAATACAATCTAAATTAGGGAAAGGTTCATGAAAGGATAGAGAAGGGAGAAAAAAGGGGTACTAGAGACTAAAGATAGCAAGCTCCAGCAAACAACCACACTGTTTACAGAGAGACGGTATGTGAGACTTGATGTACAGTGAAACTAGTACTTTAAGATGAAATAAAAAGTATATATATATATATATATATATATATATATCTTCGCCTGAAGAGACACATTTATGGTATTGAAACATAATTAAGACTTTTAAACATGTTTTAATAGCCTAGAATAAATAATATTTAGCTCTACTCTGTATTGAGCCCTCTTTTAAATTAAATGTTACGTACATTGGAATCATACTTGATTTGTCTTCATTTCACCTGGATATATATATATATATATATATATATATATATATATACGTGGATGACACTACAATTTACTCCTGTCTCAAAAACAAATCTAGTGTCGTTGACAAAACTAACATGGCCGTTCCTCTCGTAAAGGAGCTCCAATCGATTGTGAACTGGGGCAGGAATTGGCTAGTTAACTTTAATGCCTCAAAAACAAAACTGCTCTCTATTAATCACCAGAGAGAACCATCCCTGCCTCCCATTAGAATTTGGATCCCTATGCCGCGCCAGGAAATTTTTCACACAGAAGTCGATCCTTCAAATCTACAAATCAACCATTCACCCTTGCATGGAGTATTACTGCTATATATGGTCTGGAGTCCCTTCTAATTTTCTTAAGGTCCTTGATAAAATCCAAAGATGGATATGCAATTTAATTAGCCCTGATCTGGCATCTCGTCTGCAGCCGCTCTCTCACAGAGTTTAAATAGGTCAAGGTCTGGTCCCTCCACCCCCAATACTAAGTATGATTGAAAGAAATATTAAAATAAACTCTCTCTAAACTCCACCATATCTCTCCCACCACTCCTTCCTACCCTCTCTGTGAAATTACATAAACTTGATACTACCCGTCAAAAGTGTGAATTTTCATTTCATCTTTCATTTCATCTTTTGTAAGTGTTATCTGATGATCCAGCGTCCCTTAAAAGGGCTCTGGTGAAATAAATTATTATAATGGAATCTTAAAGTGGTCTGTTTTTCTTCAATATATATATATATATATATATATATATATATAGAGAGAGAGAGAGAGAGAGAGAGAGGACTCTCTCGTCGTATTCGACGTATGAGGGTCAAGGAGATCAGTTCCTAGGAAACTGACAGCCCGACAATAGCACATGTGATTTGATTATAGCGGTGAAGGTTTCGTGCAGGACCATCCACACTTTTTGAAGGGCCGAATACAGAGACCTGGTGCACTAAGTGCCACAAGGTCCCCAAACGACCCTCCGCGGGTTTTGAATTCAGTGTTGTCCTTCTCCTAGACCAGTTGCCATCCAAAGCTATAGAACCCAGTCTGTCCTGCTATTTACCCATAGCTCGAGGCAGAAGAAATAGATTAATACTTTTACTATGTAATATATCGCACATTGTGTGCTGTTGTGTGTTAATAAAATAGCGTTCGATGTAATATAACAGAACTGTTAAATATATATTAATAAATATAAATACCATCCCTCACCGGTAGCACAACTCTGAGTTTTATGCACAACGCAATCTTCAGGTGCTGGATAGAAACTAATCGTTACATAATTTTAATCTTAATCAAAATATCTGGTTAATGCACTGCTGGCGTAGAGCATATATTATACGGGGATTATGTTTATTTTTATTTCAAAAAAATATATAGTGTATTTAAAATAGACGAGATTTATATATATGTAAATAAATTTGGATTATATTTTTATTGAAAATAAACATGGATTAATGCTATTTATTTAAAAAAATGTACTAAAATTAAAAAAAATATATATATATTAAAAATATTAATTTTATTAAAACTCTGGATTTATGTTTTAGAGTAAATATAAGCAGGGATTTCTATTCTTTCTAATTCATAAAAACGACTTAAAACCATGAAAAATTTATTTACTATTAAAAATCTATTTTAAATACAGAAAAAGATATTTAAGATAGGCAGGATATATGTTTTATATTTAAAATAAACGGGGATTGAATGTTTTCATTTGTGTCATAATACACACACACACAGAGACACACACACACACACACACAGACACACACACACACACACACACGGACATATATATATATAGTAATTCACAGTCAGGGTGTTTCGCAGTATCACAGCACATCAGTGTGGCTAGACGTCCAGTCGAAACCCAGCTGAATTGGCGTCAGTCGGAGAATCTACCCCTAAGCCGTTGCCGCAAGACATGGATGAAGGTGAATGTAAGCGTATTTATTTTTAGATAATCACGCCAGTGTATATATATATATATATATATATATATATATATATATATATGGCGTGATTATATATATATATATATATATATATATATATAATTACGTGATTGTGTATATATATATATATATAATCGTGTAGTATATATATATATATATATATATATATATATATATATATATATATCCTACTGCAACACTCTTCGATAAAACTAATCGAGTTCTCTCAGTCACTATATATATATATATATATATATATATATTCGTTTTACGGCATATCTGCCTAAATAGGTTATTTAATGCCGAAAAGAATTTTATAGCTGGTAATATTTCTTTTCAAAAAATGTATTGCTGGCATTAAAAAATATTTTTACATTTACATAGTATTTTGACCCCAGCTTGGGAGGTTATTTGCCCATATCTGAGACCCTGCATTTTGAAGGGGGAAGTTCCAGCAGTCAGCTCTGATAGTCGGACCGAACATTCTTGCTGTAACACTCTCGTTTGTATATGTTTGTATTACTGTTTCTGTTAATATATTCGTTTAACTCAATTCCTCTCTTGTGTCTTTATTTCTAGCCCTAACAAGGCCATAACTCTATCTATCTATCTATCTATCTATCTATCTATCTATCTATCATGGTAATTTACCCATGAACGCATGGACTCTCCCAGCTATAAATAGGAGCAGGTACTGCCTTTTTGGTGAGAGGGAAGTTTCCATCAGTCAACTTTGACAGTCAGACCGAACATTCTTGCTGAAACACTATCGTTTGTATGTTTTGCATTACCGCCTCATATATATGCACAAAAGCTGAGTTTCATCTACCATGTATTCAATTGTGAATGCAGAATAAAATATCATTTTTATTATATCATAGCGCTCAAGAAATTTAAATTTCGACATTAAATGACCCATAAGGAGTAGATATGCCATTAAACAAACAAAACATCCCGCAGCAAGGCCTCTGGTCTGGAGACTGAAGGATCTGAAGAGCCTGGAAGCACCTCTTAACACCAGTCAAGTTCTTTTACAAGTCTTTCCCGTCTTCTTTCCTGTTATCGCTATGATTTTTAATGGTTAGAGTTTTAATTGGTTACCTGTTTATTTTTAAAGTCTTTCTAAAGTGCTGATTTTTGGTATTTTAGTATCAACATGCCAAAAATTAAGCAAGTAGTTAAAGCCATTAGAAGAATTCGAATATGTGGAAAGTGTTTTAACAGAGGGCGAAAAATGTGGCACTGAAATCCGAAGGCGCATTGGAATAGCGAAAGTTGAAGCAAAGTATTAAAAACCGGAAAAATATTTTCGAAAAGTGAAGAAAAGTATTAAGAAACCGGAAAAATGCCTTCGAAAAGTGAAGCAAAGTATTAAGAAACCAGAAAAATGCCTTCGAAAAGTGAAGCAAAGTATTAAGAAACCGGAAAAATGTCTTCGAAAAATGAAGCAACGTATTAAGAAACCGGAAAAATGCCTTCGAAAAGTGAAGCAAAGCCAGAAAATATTTTAGATTATAAGAATTTTTTTTGAGTTATGGTTTCGTGATATAAGACTTAATCGTTTACCCATAGCTGCGGAGATAAATGGCAGATTCCTAACTTTTCCAAGGATATTTGTGGGTAAGTGAATCGAATCAGATATCAAAAATTCTGAGCTATTATAAATTAACCTGCACATTCAAATTTACAATACCTAATATTCCCAAGCGGTCACCCATCTCGATACTGACCAGGCTCGACATTGCCTAACTTCGGTGTCAGTACGGGAACCGATGTTTCAATGTGATGTCGCCGTTAGCACACTATACCAGCCGCACTTCGAAGATTACACACCTTGTATTCCCAAGTGGTCACTTATCTAGGTACTGACCAGGCTCGACGTTGCTTAACTTCGCTAATCATACGGGAATTAGTATTTCAATGTGATGTGGCTGGCTGTTAACACATTATGCCACCCACATATCGAAGATTACAGCACCTGGTATTCTCAGTGGACATTCATCTAGGTATGCAACCAGTCTCGACGTTGCTTAACTTCAGTGATCATACAGGAACCTGTGTTTGAATGTGAATTGGCTGTAAGCGCATGATACCACCCGCATATAAAAGATTACAGCACCTGGTATTTCAGAATGGTCACCCATCTAGGTACTGACCAGGCTCGACGTTGCTCAACTTGGGTGATTGTACAAGAACCCTGTTTCAATGCGATTTGGCTATAAGCCGTAAGAAATTCTTATGTAATATGTCTTCCTATATGGCAGTCAATCCTGGATAATCTCATCACAGATGAAGAAGAGATTTGAGGTAAAAGAAATGCGGTTCTACAGAAGGATGCTGAGAATACCATGAACTGAGCGCATAGTCAAGAATTAACTCTTAAGAAAAATAGAAAAAAAAGGACTTTTACTCAGAATCGGAATGAAGACAGAGGGCTTGGAGAATTTGACACTCACAAGAAATATTAAATGTAAGAACAGATAGAAACAAGGAGTAACGTACCTCACGTGCTTGTATAAATGGACGATTTAACAAGGATACAGGAAAAGGCATAACTTATTAAGATCTACAAAGGATATGAAATTGTGAAGAGCAATGATCGCCTACGTCCTGAATGGACAGAGTATATAGAAAAAGATGTTTCCAAAAATTCAGTGTTTTTTGTATTAATAAAAAAGATGGTCACCTATTCTTTAGTTGAAGAAACACTATTGCTTAACTCCTATGTATAATGCTCAATTCTCTCACAAATTCTGGGTTTAAACGACACCAACTCTGCTTTATAGTAATTTCTATTTACCCACCCCCACGAGGTCAGGTTGTGACACAAAGTCGGTTTAATGTGGGGAGTCCGAGCACGTACACCCGGGCAAGGAACAAAAATTCCCCGAGCAAATGCAACCGTCGGTTGCGTTGGCCTCGTTGCGTGCACCGGTCCTTCTTTCTACTTTATAGTAATTTCTATTTACCCACCCCCACGAGGTCAGGTTGTGACACAAGGTCGGTTTAATGCGGGGGAGCCCGAGCTCGTACACCCGGGCAAGGAACAAAATTCCCCGAGCAACTGCAACCATCGGTTGCGTTGGCCTCGTTGCGTGCAACGATCCTTCTTTCCACTTTATAGTAGTTTCTATTTAACTACCCCCACGAGGTCAAGTTGTGACACAAGGTCGGTTTAATGCGGGGGAGCCCGAGCTCGTACACCCGGACAAGAAACAAAAATTCCCCGAGCCCTCGAACCGTTGGTTGCGTTGGCCTCGATGTGTGCACCGATTCTTCTCTCTACCTTATAATAATTTACACATAAAGGGCTTAATAAATGTATTATATTATTGACTTCTAGGCACTTTTCAGGTTTAATTAATTTGCATTTTGATTTTAAAAAAGTATATTTTATTAATTAACTGTCCTTCATTTTTTTTATTCTTCTTTAGGATTGTTTTCATTTTCATATCAAAAATAGTTCTGTTTAGGAATATTGTTTTTTATAGTGCAGAAAAGTGTTCGAAATTTTCATTTTACTTGGCCTTCAACAAGTTGGCATCTATTTGTAAAACTTTCCTTAACTATAATACCCGAGTACTAATTTTTTCTGTTTTTACAGTCATATTTTTTGAACAACTATATTGAACGTCCGCAACCCCACAACATTTCATAAATAATGAAAACTAATCCCATAGAAAAACTAATTTTTCCTAGAAAAATTACCAGGTTATGTTTCTAAGGTAAATAATTATCAGTTTATATATCGACCATCCATAATTAGCTGCTATTTTACAAAAGTTACTGGACTTCACCTTATGCAACCCTGCTTTTCTCAAGGTCAATTATATGTTGCTTGTTCAAGAGTTGAAAATGGAAAGAATTTATTTATACCGGCTCCAAATAAATAAAAAAAACAAAAAATGTATTTTATCTTGCTGCATCACAGGAAGAATTATTTAGGAAAAAACTTCATTTTGATTTCAATTTTTTCACCATTGTATTTCATTCATGCAAATACATGTATTTTCATTTCTGTCAACACCTGTTAAATGTTATTCAGTTTCACCATGTTTCATTTGTTTAAAAATGGCTAAAATCCTAATGTTTAGCTATCTGAATAAATATATATACTTTCTTTCATGTTTACAACGAATTTATGAATGAAATGTTCATTTAAAATTTTTGTTTCGAAGATTGCAAGTAGCGAATATATCTTACTTTGCAAAGCGATAGTGAGCAGGAAAAGCCTGCTAGTTTGTAATAAGTGCGAAGAACAGGATCTATCCTGGATTTGTTTCGTGGTACTATTGTATTTGGGCTTTTCGCGGCAAGATCTTAATTAACCAATTTGAAAGGTCAAGATTTTACTAGATTTGAAGAGCTTCTAAAAGGAAAATGTCAATGGAAGCTGATCGATAGATGTTTAGCTGGATATAACGAGTACTGGTATCATTACCAGATGAGCCACAGTATATGCCTCAGGGCGAATGCGTTCTGTGTGTGGTCGCTCGCAGAAAATGCCACGTTGACGGTGGAAAGGGAGATCAGAAGACGAGAAATGGAACAAAAAGGATTCTATATGTTAAAAGAGAAAAAAAAACACAAGGACAGAAAATAGAGAAAAGAAGGAATGTAAAAAAGAAAAGAGGAAAAAGAAAGAATGTAAAGAAAAGAAAAGAAAGAGAAGAAAGAAATAACGTAAAGAAATTGAACAAAAAGCAAAAAGAAAGAAAATAAATAATGTAAAAAAAAGAAAAGGGGGAAAAAGAAAGGAAAAAAGAAGACACAAAAGACAAGCAAGAAAGAATACACAAAAGAAATAAAGCAAAGTAAAAGAAAAGGAGAAACAACGAATCAATATAAGAAAGAAATGTAAGTGGGAAAGAAAGAAAGAAAGAAAGAAAGAAAGAAAGAAAAGAAAGAAGGAAGGAAGGAAAGAAAGAAAGAAAGATATAAGAAGGAAAGAAAGAAACGTAAAAGAAAAGGAGAAACAACGAATCAATATAAGAAAGAAATGTAAGTGGAAAGAAAGAAAGAAAGAAAGAAAGAAAAAGAAAAGAAAGAAAAGGAAGGAAGGAAGGAAAGAAAGAAAGATATAAGAAGGAAAGAAAGAAACGTAAAAAGAAAAGGAGAAACAACGAATCAATATAAGAAAGAAATGTAAGTGAGAAAAAAGAAAGAAAAAAAAGAAAGAAAGAAAGAAAGGAAAAGAAAGAAAGAAAGAAGAAAGAAAAGAAAGAAACGTAAGGAAAGAAAGAAAAGATATAAGAAGGAAAAAAGAAAGAAACGTAAAAGAAAAAGAAAGAAAAAGGAAGGAAAGAATCAATATAAGAAAAAGAAATGTAAAAGAAAAGGGAAAGAAAGAAATAAAGAAAGAAAAAAGAAAAGAAAGAAAGAAAAAAAAAGATATAAGAAAGAAAGAAAGAAAGAAAAAAGAAAGAAAGAAAGAAAGAAAGAAAGAAAGAAAGAAAGAAAGATATAAGAAGGAAAGAAAGAAACGTAAAAGAAAAGGAGAAACAACGAATCAATATAAGAAAGAAATGTAAATGGGAAAGAAAGAAAGAAAGAAAGAAAGAAAGAAAGAAAGAAAGAAAGAAAGAAATAAAGACGGAAAGAAAGAAAGAAAGAAAGAAAGAAAGAAAGAAAGAAAGATATAAGAAGGAAAGAAAGAAACGTAAAAGAAAAGGAGAAACAACGAATCAATATAAGAAAGAAATTAAAGAAAGAAAGAAAGAAATGAATAAAGAATTTAAAGAAAAAGAAAGGAAAAAAGAAAGAAAAGAAATAATGTAAATAAAAAAGAAATGGGGGAAAGGATGGGAAAGAAAAAAAGAAAGAATGAAAAGACAATCATGAAAGAATACAAAAAAGAAAGAAAGCAAAGTAAAAGAAAAGGAGAAACAACGAATCAACGTAAGAAATAAAGGTGATAAAGAAAGAAAGGAATTAATGAATAAAGAATTTAAAGAGAAAGAAAAAAGAAAGAAAAGATGACAAGAAATAATGTAAAGAAAGGGAACGAATAGTGCAGAAAGAAAGAAAGAAAGAAAGAAAGAAAGAAAGAAAGAAAGAAAGAAAGAAAGAAAGAAAGAAAGAACAAACAAAAAATTAAGTGAAGGAAAGAAAAAAGAAAATATCCAAAAGAAAAAAGAAAGAAACGAGAGACCAGAAAAAAAGAAAGAACGGACAAAAGAAAAGAGTGGAAGAAAGAAAAAAAAAGCGAACGAGAAGAAAGAAAGCGATTTTCGTGATAATAAAAAGAAAGAAAGAAAGAAAGAAAGAAAGAAAGAAAGAAAGAAAGAAAGAAAGAAAGAAAGAAAGAAAGGTGTTGATATTGAGGAGAACGTATTTCATTAGAAAGAAAGCAACAAAGAAAAACAATCTGATACGACGGGATGCAGAAAATATTCTCGACCCAATCCCCTTTCTCAATATCAGTATTTTGATAGTTGCTTCATTGAAATACTGATTTGAGGGGAAGTGGGTTGGGCCGATAACCTTTCAGCACCCCCGGCATTTCCGAAAATTTTTATTGTAAAGTGTTCCTTTCTTTCTTTGTTTCCTTTTTTTTTCTTTCCTTCCAAAGCCGCTTTCTTTCGATTTAGCCTTTTCAATACAATTTAACTCCGACGCCATGTTACGTCATTGTTCTGGGAAAAACATTAGTTGGAGACTAGACAGGTTGATTAAACGGGTCGCTCGTTTTTGAGTCAAACAAAGTCAGTCTTTCTTTTTCGTTTTTGTCTGCATTGGCCTCCCTCTTCTCCTCATTGTACCCCTTCCTCCTTCTCTTTCTTACTGTTCATTTTATTATTATTATTATTTTTATTATTATTATTATTATAATTATTATTATTTGGATAATATTTGCCGAGCAGGAATATCTGCTACTGTTATAAGCTCAGAAACGCCCAACAAAATTTGTAAAGTCTTAAAAAAAACTAA